ACATCCTGTGACTGAATCTATGGGGGATTTCCGAGGGTCTAACTATTAGCTCTTTTATTTTTTTTATTATCTCTTTTTCCCTCCCCCTTTTTTTGTACACATTTCTCATTGCCTTTAACCACACTTTGTAGTTTTGAATAGTCTCAGAGTCTCTGTTTTTCTCTGTTTGCTTCTTTCTGCTCACAGCCTCTCCAAAAACAAACCCTGCAGTGATGCATTAAACCAACAACAGTGTTTGAACAAGGTCCTTCTTCCAGGAATATGAATACAGAATTATCTAGCCACAAAAATCACAGCCGCGCTGGACTGGGTTGTATGCCGTGTGTTTACCTTTGTCCCCTCCCTGACTATTTTGATCTCAATGTGTGGTCCAAACCGTGTGGTAAATTGAAGCGTGTCCTGACAGACGGTGAGTAGCCTTGCTCTCGTCTAGGATAAACACCTATAATACTCCGGCTCCCTTGGCAATCACCATAGCAACAAACCATAGTACCCACGTGAGTTGCATAATAAGATGTTCCCCAAGACCACGGACCATAAAACGACGACAAACTAGACACCCACGGCAATGAATGTGAATCGGAAGGTAATCATTCAAATGTTAAAATTCACCTCTGACTCATTCCAGACCATCATCAATTGGTTTGCATCACATAACACTCAGATGCACATGCACCTTCTCTCTGTCTCTCCAGCCCTAACAGGTGCTGATGAGCTGCAGTCAATGATTGTAATGAGCTATCGATCACCGTGGGAAAACAGAGGGACAGAGAGGGGAGAGGGAGGTAAGAGGAATGAGAGGACACACCAAAAAAAAAAAAAAAAACTTCAGATGAACTAAATGGAGACAAGCCACACAAGACAGAGTATCAATACTTGCTTTAATAGAGTCCTCATCTCCTATTGTTCTGCTTAAAATAGAATTTATGCGATGGTGCTTTCTGCTGGTACAGGTGAAACTCAGAGCAGCTTCTGGACTGAACTGATCTGCTTGGGATGACCATGCAGACATGCTTGTCATGACCGAGTCCAGATGCCAGTGAATGGCACTGACGCAGTATCTTTATTTTTCTCTCTTTTTGTGCTGTGTACTCAGAGTGGAAGCAGACAGCTTTAGGGAAGGGGGAGGTGTGTTGCGTGTGTTTCGTGTGTGTTAGCTGGCGTTTCAGATAATGAAATGCAGCAGGGAACAAAGAGCTGGGGGCCCCTATTCTCTGTGCTGCAGCTTCATTTTCACTCCCGTCAGTCTATGATTCTTCCATACCCTCTTTCTTGTGTACATGTATATGTGTGTGTTTGTGTTTGTAGGAGCCAGTTGTTGTGCATATGAATGCCCCCACCCCCCTACCCTCCTTCTCCTGTTAGTATTCTGCATGGCAGATCCCCTTAATGTAATAACTGCGTCTGCATGTCTAATTTACAGCAGGAGAGAGTAAATAGCCTGTGGTTAATTACAGTACGTGTGTGTATGTGTGTGTGTGTCTATGCAAGTGTCTACATGTGTGTGGGTGTGTCAGAATGATTTATGAGTTGCAAATAGCTACACCAGTGGCCTGTTTCTCCTCACTTAGTTTTTAATCTGTCTTTCCATTAATTTTCCTGGAGACGTTATTATGGTTTTATAACAGTGTGCACAAGGATGCACATGTGAGTGTGCATATGTGTTAATGAGACAGAGGTGGAGACATTTTGTGAGGATCATGGCTGCAGAGGCACCTGAGATCCACTCTGTTTGCTCCCCTTCCTACTTCTTGAATTCATTTCCTTCCTGGGCCCCTTTTCTCTCTTCCGGTGCTTCATTCACTCTCTTCATTGAGAGTCACAATGAACACAGATCTTTATTGACAGTACATGGTAGAACATGGAAACAGCAGGTCAATCTGTTTAGCCTAAGGGCCGATACACCAATTCACCAATTTGTCAGTGTTAGTTTGAGAGAGAAAAGCAGCTAATCTCTCCTCTCTGCTCTCTATTGATCACACACTTAGACTCCACTTCGCTGTCTAAACACTATTGATTCTCTCTCCCTCTCTTTTTGTCTTGCTCTCTCCACATTCCACAGCTCTGGACACATCTTCCCTTCATACACTCTACTTCTCACATAAAATCTTCAATAACTGAGACTTTTTGTCCTTGCACATGAAGCCCTGAGTCACATTTAAGATCAATGCTTGAGGATATTTCAGCATGAAAAAAAATGTATTTGAGTAATTTTGATCTATAGTATAAGTGACACTTATTAACTATACAAAGCATTTTAGAGATTGGTCCACAAGTGCTGCAAATCATTGTTCCCCACTGTGTACATTCAAAAAATTATGCAGGGTCTCATTAAAAAAAAAAAATCAATTACTTAGCAACCTCTTTACAGCATGAATACCAACCATGATTAAAAATTCACTGCTGGGCACACTATCTCCTGGCTTTGTTTTTCAGCCTCACATCACAGGGTGCACTTAAAAGGGGCCACACTCCTGTCAAGATGAATGTAAAATTATAGAATTGTTGTCTTGATGGAGAAGTCCTTAAAGCATTTTTGCATCAGTTCAAATTGAACCAAGGATAATTGGATTTAGCCTGTGGGGACCCCTGCCATGACACATCTAATCTGTTAGGTGTGATTTTCCATCTTCCTCTGTATAAACATTTTCAGAACATTTACTATATCTCTCTACTTAAATGTCAACAATCAACTCTACACAGGTTACTGGGATGCAGTAAAACCAGCCAGTCACCTATGGGTTTATTATACTTGTCTGCCCCCTACAGGTGATATTAACCCATTACAACTTTTTATCTTTGGAGGTTAGAACTGACACATGGCTTGTGTAACTTAAAATAATCGGTAGCTTACTGATCAGTACTAGCTACCAGCTGGGAGGTTCAGGATGTGGACCTGAGCTTTAAACTATGTATTAGACTTGTCAGCTTTTACAGATATAATATAATGTCACCTTTCACTTCCAGTGGCGAGAGCCGAACACAGGAAAGCTTTGGTGAGATTTAGATTGAGAGAAGTGCAGGTAAGTCAATAGGAGCCAGAGTATTTCTTTGCGGTGTGTATGTCCATGCTGGGGCACCAGGAAACTTGAACTCAGTTTCTGTCCTTCATCCATCCCCTGTTCATGGCCTGTTGGCACCATGCACTCCATCATCACCTCCATATATCAGGAATATTACTCAAAGGTCAGTGAGTGATTCTATCTTTTTTTAACACCTGGATTACAAAGTGGCTCTAGGAAAGGGACTATCTGCATAGTGAGTTTAGATTACATTTTAAGAAATATTCTGGTTATCAGTTAAGTTTATAGTATACATAAGAAAACTGGTAGTAAAAAATTTAATACACAATGAATAAACACTAACAGCCCAAATTAAAATAAAAAAACAACGATCACACAGAATAATAGGTTATACAGTATAGTATGATAGTAGAACCTAATAGAAGGCTAATGATTGCCCTAATCAATACAATATCATGCCTGTCTTTCCCCAGAGCAGCACGAGAGGGAGGTATTATACAGATGAATGACCTAATAATACTAATACTGTTGTGTATATTAAAGCCACAAAACTTTGTGTATTTTATCTAACTTACCTTTTTATGCTGCAAATCAGTTCTTGGCCACTATGAAGGACAAAAATGAATCCAAATAAACTAAAGTTGTCATGGCTAACATGCGAAACAACTACTGTAGTCATTTGTAAAGTAGCATCTCTTTGGATCTTTATTCCTGTCTGTTAAGTGTCACTTTAACCTGTAATTCCTGAGGAGAACAAGTTTGTGTTAGCTCCTGTGCTGGTTTTGTGTCAAGATGTGTTCCCACTGTGTTTCTAATAGCACCCCCCTGTTGTGTTTATGGTTAGGATAAGGTTAGGGGAAACACATTTTGTCAGGGGAACAGATCTCGACACAACACCAGACATAGTTGCATTGCTCCTCCTTAGTGGCATTGAATCAAAAAAAAAAAAAAACAAACTTACTAACTTAACCCAGTTTTCTTTGCATTTATTTTAAATAATGAAAATAACTAAACATGCAAATAGCATTTGATGTGATGTGTCTGGACAGTGTCAAGCGCATCACGTCTTCAGTACCTATGTTATCTTGTGCACACACTGACAGACATTAATTACAAGTGATTTTTTTAAAAACTTAAATAGTAATAAAAATGACCAAGAAAACAAAACGTGTAATGAAATGTTTATTGTCTATTGGACAGGTCCAATGTCCACAGTGTAGCCGTTATACATGCAGTACAGACCAACATAATTAACAACAGCATAAATTCCAAAGTGCTTTATGTTGTCTAACCATGTCCTTGAACAGAAATTCAGGTTTGACTGCTATGTTTGGAAACTGTTCTACCGAGTCTCTGTCTCTTCTGTTTAGGGTTTGAGGCTGCAAGAACTAACTCAACACCAGATGTTTAGTCACTGCGGACTGGCAGGTCCCCTAAGGTCAGTCTTTAACAGTAGATAAAGGATTCCTAATTGTCACAGCTCTACAACACTGGCAGGTCAGTGAGCTAGAGCTCCTGAGCTCCACTGATGGATGCTAAGCATAGCATTGTAACTGACACTGGCACAACCTGTGCATCTCCCTGCCAGCTGTGTCTGAAAAGGAGAGAGGGAGCATTGCACTTGTTAGGAGGCGTTAGGTTAATCCTCAATGGAGCGGATGTATCTCTCATAGGCTGCTTCATCCATTAGAGTGTCAAGCTCAGCAGGGTTGGCAATGGTCATCTTTATCAACCAACCTGTATTTAATAGGTTAAAAAGAGGTTAAGCTGTGAGCCAAGGACCATATCAGTGTTTTGCATACTTTAGCCCATTCATCACAAGCCACATACTGTATGTGTAACATCACTGGCACCATTTTCCACTGACCTAGCTTTTTACTTAGTTCAGACCGTCTCCCATTATGCACAGATGTTTTGGCTATGCCTTCTTCAGTCTGCAGCAGACCTTCAGTTTCATGGTTGAAACTTAACTGACAACTTATCACCAACAGGTGCAGGTGTAATCAGAGGCCTCCTAAGAATTCCAGAACAGAAATCATCCATTAGACTGGCAGATATTAGCTCTCCTGTTGTTTGCCAAAATGTGATGCAACCACATGTAGACATGTGGTAATCTAGAAAGACTGCTAATTCAACATGAAACCTATTGGATTTTCACGTTAAATCCCTCGTCTCCTATTAATCTAAATGAAGAATACAACTCCTGTCCGTTCCTGTGAAAACATGTGCACCATATTCTTATCATTGAGTTTTCTATTACACAACAATTTAGTAGATTATAGCAGCTCAAGGTTACTTTATAGTGTAACAGAAGCACACAGTAATAATAATGTAATTTTTCATACTCTATAGTTGTTGGAGATTATGTTTTTGGAATTGATAATTTTATCCATTTTAATAATTAGACTTGTATAATCTGTAATTTTGTCAGTGTAAATTAAAAACAGTTCCTTAAACGTACTACAGTATACATTTATCTTTAGGGGTTACACTTACAGGACAATGTGAGGAGAAATGTGAAGTTTTCAGGAGGGCAAATCTGAGGAAGCTTTGATTATAGATAACCACTTCGTACACCTGTTGACTGACACATTGTTGGTGAAAAGTTAATAAGGACTCAACCATGAAACTGAAGGACTATTGAACTTTGTAGAAGGCTTAGTCTAAACATCCAGCTGTGGTGATGTGTGATAATTTGAACTACACAGAAGGAAAACATCCCAGTGATTTGGGTGTGAGAAAGCTCTGTTTTGTACTTTAGACTTAAGTTAAATGCACCCAACTTTACTTTTTTGCCTTTGATTTAGCTTTTTTTTTTCTTAAACCTCTGCCTTGTTTATTACAGTATGAAAATCAACTTGTTAAGACTTTGAGGCTCTTAAGTCAGGTAATCCATTACAGTGAACATTATGTCTGCCTTTATTATTGTCACAGTTACATTATCAATACACAGTAGAGCTGCTGTGAGTGGAACTGCAGTTCATTGCCATTCCATGATAATTTTGTTCTGACAATAGCAATAGCAGATGATGCTCAGTATGATAGATTACTCTATCAACCAACACAAATCTCTTAGTAAATATTCATGTTTATAATTGAACGGAAGCATAGTTGATGTGTGAGAGGCATAGAAATGAATACATGGAAAATACTGATTTGCTATGAAAAATGGTCAGCAGTACTCATGACAGAGAATGGGTTAAACCATGCAAAATATCAGGTGTAGAGTGAAGATGGTTCACACTTGCAGGATACCTAATGCATTTTTCAAAAACAAAAAAAATAGAAAAGACCGTACAAGATATAATTACTTTTAAATCCACTTCCTCTCCTTACTCCTATAGTGGCTGTCTTCTATTTTAGGTTGCATTACTGCCATCTACTGTTCAAAGCTGATGCTGCTACTAAGCAGCTTCCTTGAACCTCACAGCCCCTAAGATAATTATGATTTGCAGAACCTAAAAGAGTAAAAATGTTTTATCTGTACATGTTCATTGTTCAGTCAATAATATATTAATATTTTTAGAATAAATACAGGCAAAGATATAGCTATAAAGATGTCGAAATGAGTAAAAAATGTTGTAAATGTAAACACATTTTCAAAACAACATAAAATCAAAAACAAAAAAAAAATAATTTCAGTTATGTTTTTAGTTCATTAAAGGCTCCCCAGTGTATAGACTTCATACCCTGAACAGGTTTCTTTTGCAAGTAACCGCTATTAGGTAAACAAAGTCGGAGTTGTAAAGTGCTATATAAATAAACTATTATTATTATAGTGTTGATGTACAAACTGCACCAGTGATCTCAAAAAAGTTGATCAATATGTATCAATAACAATGTGATCCTAGAACTTTACATTCTCACATAAGCCCAAAGTTTATTTATTTACTCATTGCTTCTTTCACCATCCATCCCCATCAGCCAACCATACAAGCTGTACATGGAATGGACTGTGCACTTACCATCTTTGTAGCAAGATTTGTTGACCAGACCAGGGTTATCTGCCAGCAGTGTATTGACCTCTACAACTTCTCCAGTTAATGGGGAATAGAGCTCGCTGGCTGCTTTTACGCTTTCGAGGGCTCCAAACTCATCTGTGATAGTAGATGTTAGAAATGCAATTAGATCAAAGTTGGGTCACTTCAGAAGTATAGCAACTACAAACTGCTTTAGAAAGAGTTCAGACCCCTTCACACACTTTTATTGTGTTGGATATCTGATTGTAAATGGATACAACTGAAAATGTATCCAATTTCATGAATAGATAAAAAGAGATACATTTTAATTTGTAGTTAACAGCTGGGGACAAGAACTATACTGGGCAGGACATTTTACTGTTGAAAAATGTGTCCCTACTTTCTGGAACTGTTTCAAAATGCAGCTTTCAAGGTTTCAATACACTTCAATTACTTATTATTAATTGGCTGATACATATCTGCAATGAGCTAACATCACCTGATACATCAACCTGCCCGATTCATAAGTGTGGCTCTATTTCAAATTATAAAATTGATGTAATATTAGTATCGCCAGCTATACAGCTTCAACAGAGTGAATCCAGGAATGAGGTGTATAAGACAGGGCTTAATTCTTCCATATTTGTACTTCTTACCTTGCTGAGCCAGCTGTGTTCCCACCTCTGGTAGTCCACAGTAAACTACATCTCCCAGAGCCTCCTGCAAGTGGCAGAAAGCAAAGTCAATGGTAGTGGTATGGTGTGTTTGTGCATGAACATGTGTGTGACTGTGTCTGTGCATGGGCACAGTGATGGTGATATCCGGATGTTTTGCAAGGGTTAATCCTCAATATAATTTTTACTGTACACTGTGATGGGCAGAAAACGCAAGTTGCACATATAATGGAAGTAAGCCCAGAAGAAAAATAGATTAGATGATTATTAAGAAAAATAGTTCCATTTGATTCAGGAAAAATGCCACGAAAAAAACTTATTAGTCCATATTATTTTGTTGTCGTTTTACATCTTAAAACAGGGACAATGGACTCCAAGGTGAAGATGGTGTTAAATATCTAGGGGACCGCATGAGAATGGTCAACTCTGGTTTACGCTGGGTGCACTTTAGAGACGGTGCCCAACTTTAGCTCCTTTTCAAAGAGCAGGGTCGTGAGGTAAAACTGCATCACCTATGCAGCATCGGTAAAGCTTCATTTTAAAACACACAACAAATCTGGTGCAGGGTAATTATCTCAATTAAACGTTATTGGCGATTAACTCCTACGAGTGTCTAAATACCCACGATCAAATAGTTTACACCATGGTCAGGACTTACTTGGGCGAAGTTGCTGATACCGACAGTCCCAATTCTGTCGTCTTCTACTCGAATCCATTCGTGCTTGTCTGTAAATTTAACCGCTGCAAGATAACACAACAGACTCAGAACATAACCATCTTCCCACTAAACTAGTGCTTCTGTAATCTCCGGTCATTAACCTTACGACGATCAGGAGGGAGGGAGGGAGGTACAGCAGCTCTTCTCTCTAGCTAAGGTTACTCTGTAGCTATCAAAGATTTTTGGTTAACATTGCACACAGACACATTTACAGGGGAATACCTGCTGATAATCCGCTAGAAGACGTAAGCGTTCTTGGAGAACAAGGTTTAAGTGCCAGTCGCAAAGGACAAAGCGGCGTCGAGCGGGTCAGTAAAGGCAAAACAGTGGTAAAGCTGGACGATAGTGAACGGAACAGCCTGCAGGCGGACATCTTTGCCGCTTATTGACGAGAGAACGGGTCGAATTCTTCTTCGTGGGTAGTAGAGGTATCAGTGGTACTTTACCGCCCTCTACTGACCACATCAATTGTATTGCTAGAATAAAAATGCACCGCAATCGATCCTATCATTCGGTGGCTCCCCTTGAGCCAAACGTATTAGTTACGTAACAAAAAATTCAGAGTCCAGTAGCATACAAAGAGAATGAATTGAATGCGTTAAAATATTTATTTAAAAGAAGGTTCTGAGAGGAACACAGGGTTGTGTTGTTATAAAACTGCTCATTTCCATTTTAACCATAGCTAATGTCTCTTAAGGGGCCACAAGCCAGAATTTTAGACCCACAATATCTTCTTGTGATACTTCAACTGACAATAAATTTGCAATTTAACATCCCAAGTTATCACAGTTTCTCAATTTATGTAACTATTTTATAATTTGTGTGTGATGGCTACATCTGAGAATTAAATTGTTTTGCAGGTAATACTCACTTTAATTCAGCTTTACTGATTTAAATGACCTGTGTGCACATCCATGGCAACCACTGTAAATAAACATGAAAACCTGAAGTTATAAGATTGCAGGACACTTATGAGTTGTTTCAGTAACCATGCCGATATCCATATAGCTTCCCATCAACAAAATCTTTTATGACAGGTGGCCTATGAGTGTACATTTTCATTTATACTTTAAACCATATCCTTTGTTCATAGAAGCACACCAGACAGGACTCTCCTTATTGACCAACCAAAGAAAAACAAATTACTTAACACTTTTATTCATACAAAACAACAGAATATATAAAGAAAAGGTCACTCTTATGCCTGGGAGTCCTACTATTGCTCAAACTTGCATTAGCTGAGGAAATGGCATGTTTAGGATAAAAAAAAAAAAGTTTTCAAAAACTTGAGGGTAACACAACCTTACACTCCCTTTGTCCTGTTGTGGCTTCATAAACTATGCTGTAAAACAAACTAAAATACAAAATGACTAAAAGTGTCCTCCCCTATACCTGGGCTAAAAGCTACAAACATAAATAACAAAAGCACATTTGTTTGGCTTTTACTTTACACAGCTTCAAGAGTCCATCCAGTGTCCACTTTTCCTTATTTGATTCTGAAAATGACAAAAAAAAACAACGACAACAACAATAACAACAATGATAACAGTGAAGAGAAACGACAGCTTGCTGTGGAGAAAGGACTGCAAACGGGGGGAAGCTTGATTGCCCACACTGAGAGACATGTAACATGTCTGTATTAGGTCCCTCCTGCGAGGGGGCGGCGTGTGCTGCTGGGTGGGCGTGAGGAGCAGAGGTGAGTGCTGTTGGTCCATGGCAGCCAGACGGAGGGGGATGTTTAGTTTGTAAAGTCTCGCTCCTCATTGCAGGAAGGAACAACTAGGTTGGAAAAGCCAGGAAGTTCATCTCAGGCCATGGCCAAATCACCACTGTGCACCATGGAAATTTTAATTTTTTTTTTTTTTTTTTTTTTTTACATTTTTTGCACACACACTCCTGATGTCTCTGTGCTTACAAACACGCACTCAATCAGCCAGACCCAGACACCCCTGTTGATTTTTAGGTGGTTCGTTCTTCCCCATCAGTCTCCTGCTTGGTCCTGCGCAGGTTGCTCTTCATCTTCACAAACTCTGGGGTGTTCTCCTGTTCCTCCTCAATTTTCTGTTGCTCTAGCTCGAGCTGCAGGAATACAGACAATGAGAAATTCAGATAAAACAACTTATAAGAAGAATCCTTTATTGTTGATGTAATGCGTACAACGAAATTTTGTTTAGAGCCTAGGGCACCGGGCTGCTGCGTGCATATGCACCGCCATCGCGGCTAACTTGGGACTTCAGTGTCTTGCCCAAGGACACTTTGACATGTGGACTGCAAGCACTGCGATTCAAACCTGCAAGCTTCCGGTTGAGAGACGACTGCTCTACCTACTGCACCACTGTCGCCCATAAAGGTGACAATGTAGTGATAGCAAGATACGTATATACAATGCATATTGTATCAACTGTCAAGGTCAAAACCAGGAATGAATGAACTTTAATCTTGGTTTTTTGTGCTGAGATGTAGACATAATACACATTCATCTGAGTGAAAAAGTAATGGTTAATATTAATTTTGTCAATCATTTACCTGCTCTAGTTTCTGTTGTCTTTTCATGAGCTCGATCTCCAAGTCGCTCCTCTTCTTGTGGGCCTCCTGCTCCTCCTTTTGAGCCTTGAGAACTTGCTCCCGTTTTCTTTGCTCCAGAACTTTCTGGAGCTCAGGTTTGTTCTGAGGAGCCAAACCCCTGTGCAGAATCAGTCAGTGAAACCACCAAGTTAAAATAAAGCTCAATGACCCACCTCTGACAACACATGCTAATGGCACTACAGAGCTTCAAATTCGTGTGTAACAGATGACGACCGTGACCTCATTCTAGTTTGACATGCCCATTTATATCAGATATTCTGGATTAAACATGTCATTCATGTTTCAAGAAAGTTATGATTTTGAGCCAATAACTTGTTCCACGTTTACCAGAATACAAGCCCAAAACATTTTGTTCATATGAAAGCTATATTGGGGTGAAAAGTCACAGGGAACCCAGAGGGACTGTTGCATAACTACACAGATTTGTGTAGTTAACATCCAAAAGAGGACTGGGACATAGTGAAGTGTGATGAGCAGCAAAAATACAAAATGTTATGTAATGCTCCAAATTATGAGAGGGAAAGGTGGGGGCTAAGTATGAGTCTTGAGAGTGCTTAAGGCAGAAGAGAACAGAGATGGGCTGGGGTCTGTTCGAAAAGACAATAACCAATAAAGAGAAAAGCCTCTAAAGAATTTGGGGGGTGGGAGGACATAATAAAGCACCACAGAAGCCAAAAACATAAAAAGGATAGAGGTCATTATTGAAACTATTCAATCTCCTTGCCTTTTATTGATTTGATTTAAAAACCACACTATCCGGATTACTAAACTCCATGATTACTCATTTTCCTTTTGCCTGACTCTGCACAGGCAGCGTTGGTTTATCAGCACAGCATACCTACCTGACTGCAGTTTGGCAACAACAACGCCTTAATTAAAAGCATTATTGAAATCCTGAAGATTACATAATCAAGCCACAATGTTCCAAGAAGGAGTGGGAATTCATTTAGAAACACCTCTTTCTTTAGAGCTACTGCTGCAGTTAAATGTCCTGGTTTTACTGACAGTGAAGGTCTTATAAGAAAACACTTAGCAAGCTGAATGATGATGTGATCGGGTCAGGCTGTTTTGAACACCTCACATGCAAAGGATGGAGGGTGAAAATCACTGACAGTAATAAGGCAAACATGCTTACACTCTCCTTTCACTGTGGGACATGTTTACATAATCTGTGAACCCCTCCCTCCATCGGGCCCCCTCCCATGAGTGCATACCCTCTAGCAGACTGGGATGAATGTGTTCAAATCTCACACATCAATACCCCCTATCTGCTCAAATGCTTTGCCAGTCTTGGTGGCTGAGTTTCTGAAATTCCTCTGTATGCGTGTGTGTGTGTGTGTGTGTAGGAAAGGTCAATCCAGCTGAGGCGGCACAAAAAGGCCCCCAGCTGGATTGTTTTGTAATCTTGATTACATAACATATTTTTTCAGTTTCCATACAGCCATGCATGCATCCATCCACCTTTCCACCCACCCCTTCCCGCTCTCATCACTGTGACTAATTCAGACATTAAAAATCCCATTAAAAACAAATTCATCCCTTTAAAAACCCCATTAGATTGATCTCACAGACAGACATTCACAGATATTCCCTGTCTAGGTGAAAAAAAAAAAAAAGTTACTGAATGGGAAAATGTATTCCTAAAATTTTATTAACATTTCTCCTGTGGCCTTTCTGACTTCTTTCCCATCATTCATTAATGCCCAGCCTCCATCACTATAAAAGCACCTTGCTCTTGGATCTGTTTAAGAAGGAGCATCGCTGCTGTGATGTAACAGCTGTCAAAAGCGCATGTGTTTACATGGCTATTTATAGTTCAGACACCAAGCTGCTGGCACTGGGTGATGACACGAAATACAAGTGGCGGCTGATCACTGGCTTCAGTGTGCATTTGAGTTTTCACATGGACACACAATGATACATAAATGTTCACATAGACTTCAGGCTGCATGAAATACTCTGTTGTACAGCTTGATCTGGCTCATGCTGTTAAACATACATCTGTGTGACCTTTACATAACCAATTTTAGACACATTAATGCACTTGAGGTTTTAGGTAATACTTCTATGAAAGTTTATATCCTGAGCTGCAGGTAGGAGGTAGGAGGCACCAGTGAAGTCAACTACAGTGACACACTGCAGAAACATCAGTACAGTCTGCATGGACACTATCAATAAATTAGAAGAAAGTAGCAGGGCTACTGTATTATCTCATCCTCTGTTAGTAAAAGGTTAAATTAAATTAGCCTGGGTCGGGACACCGTGATCTTATTCCTCATCTAACCTGTTTTGAAGAGGGACAAACAATGTTGTTTCCATAAGCAAACAAGATGATAATCATGATCCAAGAATTGCTGAACAGTTTTACTGATCAATAAATGAATAAACCATTATCTGTCCAATCACATGCTGCATGTGAAGGAATGTAACTCACAGTCTTGGAATTCAGCCATCTTTGTTTAATATTGTCCTGGTTGTGTTAATGTGTCATAAATCATGATAAAACTTTGTGTGTGCAAAATCACAATTGGTCAGTTACTCTGTGTTTATCAGGAAACAGATAAGAAGGAAAGACAAACAACAGTCAATGAGGAACTGAAGTCTGCTGACCTCTTTTGGTTCAAGAGCAGCTCTCGGTGCAGGTCCTGGTGGTTACGGGAGCTCTTAACTGGGTTGATCAGCTTCTTAGGTTTGATGAGTTCATCACAGTCTTCCTCCAGATAGTCCGGCTCTGCCATGACACTCCTCCCTGGTGATTAAAAAAGAAATAGACTAGGGTCACACGGATATGAATCAACAAAAATGAATTAATAGGATGTTCGTTAAACTATGACAGTGTCTATGTGATGACAGAAATCTCAGTGTGTTACAATTTTTTTCTGGGATCCATTATTTCTCTGAAATTGTGCTCCTTTTAAACCCTGATCCTCTGGCACGAGTTTCTGAATGGTTTCTATAGTGATGGAGGGGCTCGTCTTGGAATTACATAACTGTTCCACACTGAGTGAACAGGAACATCTCACCCCCCTGTTGGATGATATAAAACCCATATGCCAAACAATAAAGAGATGAATCAGGATGGCACAGAGGCACGCCTTAATATCTTTCAGACACACAGTTATGTAAATATTTGCAGAGGCTGCAAATAAATAACTCAAAGATCAGTCCACTCTTGTCCCGGACCTCAAAATTAAGGAACTTCTATTCAACAGCTCCAGATATAAACACATCCTTTGGTCATTTTATTCAGTTAGCTAATATCTAAAAGTATTCTGTATTTTACAAGTATTGGCTAAACGTTCTTACATTACAGCAGTTGCAAATACAAAATGTCCCTCATTTACATAAATATAACCAATGCATATATGAAAAACCAAAATCTCCTCACCCAAGGGTCACCTAACAGATCAAACGGATTAAAAAGCTGAGATAATCAAAATTAACTTTTTGACTATACTTCATGTTAATCATACAGCAGAGTACACGTTTATGGCTGCTAAGTGCTCTCCAGTTAGCTTTCCTTAATGACAATATAAATTGGACCCACATGTTCAACTTCAGAGAACGGAGTGTCAGGGGTTTCTAAAGGGTGAACAAATAAATCTGGAGATCTAATAAAGGGACATGACAAGTCCTGCTGTTTTCAGGATTTACTGCTGAAAATATCCACTGCTTTTCCAGGAATCCCACTAAAAACAGTCTGTTTACTGGTTTTGGAAACACACCACAGACACACACACACACACACACACAATGAGCCACCAAAGACCTGATTCTCCAAGATGTATAGGGCCAATTGTATTTGACTAGAAATGTGCTTATTTCCCTTTAAAACATATTTTAAATGCACTTTAACACATATAATTGTACCAAGACTAAAAACAGTGTTCATACTTCACTTTTACTTATGGTAGAAAAAAATGCACAAAATTGAGTCCTGCTTAACTCACCCTGCAGAAGAGGAAAGATGGGGTATCTGAACATTGTCGTCATCTCTTCTATCTGGATTCAGATTTTATTTTCCAGGAAAATATGTGAGAACTTGCAGTCCTGTTTATCAGAGTCTGACATAGGAGAAGTGTTTTGTCTTGCACAGCTGTCTGCTACTAGGCTGGTTTGAATTTAGAGTCTGTTTTATAGCTCGGTCGTACATGCACTCGCTCCCTCTCTCTCTCTGCTCCCTCCCTCACCTACTTCCTCCCACTCCATTTCAATGCACATCTCCAGATTTCAAATCTCACACATCAATACCCCCTATCTGCTCAAATGCTTTGCCAGTCTTGGTGGCTGAGTTTCTGAAATTCCTCTGTATGCGTGTGTGTGTGTGTGTGTGTAGGAAAGGTCAATCCAGCTGAGGCGGCACAAAAAGGCCCCCAGCTGGATTGTTTTGTAATCTTGATTACATAACATATTTTTTCAGTTTCCATACAGCCATGCATGCATCCATCCACCTTTCCACCCACCCCTTCCCGCTCTCATCACTGTGACTAATTCAGACATTAAAAATCCCATTAAAAACAAATTCATCCCTTTAAAAACCCCATTAGATTGATCTCACAGACAGACATTCACAGATATTCCCTGTCTAGGTGAAAAAAAAAAAAAAGTTACTGAATGGGAAAATGTATTCCTAAAATTTTATTAACATTTCTCCTGTGGCCTTTCTGACTTCTTTCCCATCATTCATTAATGCCCAGCCTCCATCACTATAAAAGCACCTTGCTCTTGGATCTGTTTAAGAAGGAGCATCGCTGCTGTGATGTAACAGCTGTCAAAAGCGCATGTGTTTACATGGCTATTTATAGTTCAGACACCAAGCTGCTGGCACTGGGTGATGACACGAAATACAAGTGGCGGCTGATCACTGGCTTCAGTGTGCATTTGAGTTTTCACATGGACACACAATGATACATAAATGTTCACATAGACTTCAGGCTGCATGAAATACTCTGTTGTACAGCTTGATCTGGCTCATGCTGTTAAACATACATCTGTGTGACCTTTACATAACCAATTTTAGACACATTAATGCACTTGAGGTTTTAGGTAATACTTCTATGAAAGTTTATATCCTGAGCTGCAGGTAGGAGGTAGGAGGCACCAGTGAAGTCAACTACAGTGACACACTGCAGAAACATCAGTACAGTCTGCATGGACACTATCAATAAATTAGAAGAAAGTAGCAGGGCTACTGTATTATCTCATCCTCTGTTAGTAAAAGGTTAAATTAAATTAGCCTGGGTCGGGACACCGTGATCTTATTCCTCATCTAACCTGTTTTGAAGAGGGACAAACAATGTTGTTTCCATAAGCAAACAAGATGATAATCATGATCCAAGAATTGCTGAACAGTTTTACTGATCAATAAATGAATAAACCATTATCTGTCCAATCACATGCTGCATGTGAAGGAATGTAACTCACAGTCTTGGAATTCAGCCATCTTTGTTTAATATTGTCCTGGTTGTGTTAATGTGTCATAAATCATGATAAAACTTTGTGTGTGCAAAATCACAATTGGTCAGTTACTCTGTGTTTATCAGGAAACAGATAAGAAGGAAAGACAAACAACAGTCAATGAGGAACTGAAGTCTGCTGACCTCTTTTGGTTCAAGAGCAGCTCTCGGTGCAGGTCCTGGTGGTTACGGGAGCTCTTAACTGGGTTGATCAGCTTCTTAGGTTTGATGAGTTCATCACAGTCTTCCTCCAGATAGTCCGGCTCTGCCATGACACTCCTCCCTGGTGATTAAAAAAGAAATAGACTAGGGTCACACGGATATGAATCAACAAAAATGAATTAATAGGATGTTCGTTAAACTATGACAGTGTCTATGTGATGACAGAAATCTCAGTGTGTTACAATTTTTTTCTGGGATCCATTATTTCTCTGAAATTGTGCTCCTTTTAAACCCTGATCCTCTGGCACGAGTTTCTGAATGGTTTCTATAGTGATGGAGGGGCTCGTCTTGGAATTACATAACTGTTCCACACTGAGTGAACAGGAACATCTCACCCCCCTGTTGGATGATATAAAACCCATATGCCAAACAATAAAGAGATGAATCAGGATGGCACAGAGGCACGCCTTAATATCTTTCAGACACACAGTTATGTAAATATTTGCAGAGGCTGCAAATAAATAACTCAAAGATCAGTCCACTCTTGTCCCGGACCTCAAAATTAAGGAACTTCTATTCAACAGCTCCAGATATAAACACATCCTTTGGTCATTTTATTCAGTTAGCTAATATCTAAAAGTATTCTGTATTTTACAAGTATTGGCTAAACGTTCTTACATTACAGCAGTTGCAAATACAAAATGTCCCTCATTTACATAAATATAACCAATGCATATATGAAAAACCAAAATCTCCTCACCCAAGGGTCACCTAACAGATCAAACGGATTAAAAAGCTGAGATAATCAAAATTAACTTTTTGACTATACTTCATGTTAATCATACAGCAGAGTACACGTTTATGGCTGCTAAGTGCTCTCCAGTTAGCTTTCCTTAATGACAATATAAATTGGACCCACATGTTCAACTTCAGAGAACGGAGTGTCAGGGGTTTCTAAAGGGTGAACAAATAAATCTGGAGATCTAATAAAGGGACATGACAAGTCCTGCTGTTTTCAGGATTTACTGCTGAAAATATCCACTGCTTTTCCAGGAATCCCACTAAAAACAGTCTGTTTACTGGTTTTGGAAACACACCACAGACACACACACACACACACACACAATGAGCCACCAAAGACCTGATTCTCCAAGATGTATAGGGCCAATTGTATTTGACTAGAAATGTGCTTATTTCCCTTTAAAACATATTTTAAATGCACTTTAACACATATAATTGTACCAAGACTAAAAACAGTGTTCATACTTCACTTTTACTTATGGTAGAAAAAAATGCACAAAATTGAGTCCTGCTTAACTCACCCTGCAGAAGAGGAAAGATGGGGTATCTGAACATTGTCGTCATCTCTTCTATCTGGATTCAGATTTTATTTTCCAGGAAAATATGTGAGAACTTGCAGTCCTGTTTATCAGAGTCTGACATAGGAGAAGTGTTTTGTCTTGCACAGCTGTCTGCTACTAGGCTGGTTTGAATTTAGAGTCTGTTTTATAGCTCGGTCGTACATGCACTCGCTCCCTCTCTCTCTCTGCTCCCTCCCTCACCTACTTCCTCCCACTCCATTTCAATGCACATCTCCAGATAAAGAAAAGTTCAGAACAATTTTTTTTCCTATTTCTTAAGTGACTGATTCTTCACTAACAAATGGATATCCTCAATTATACTTCAAGGTATCTTGTTGTTAAAATAATCCTACATAGGCCTTTCAGAATGTAGTTTTTAAGCAGCAGTAAATTATTATTATTATTATTATTATTATTATTATTATTATTATAGCAAACAACTAAATTTGCTGAGTTGGTTTACACTAACATTAGACACCAAAATCACCTGCATTTCTCCTCCCAGAGTTTGAGGAATGACTCCGATTTATAAACAATGAGATTCTCAAATGTATGTGATTTTAAGGTGCTGCCTAGTTACGACTCTCTCCTTCTGATAAAAAGTGAAAACAGAGTGATGTTTTGAAATCTGAGTAGCTCAAAGATGCCTTGCACTGTACACGCTAGACACAAAGGTGGGGGGAGTGTGTCAGCACAATCAAAACATACAAGCTGAGAGTTGGTGTAATGACTTAATATCACCAGTAGAGGTCGACACTTTTGCATCCCAGAAACTAAACCATGTCAGTTGCATAACAAAGAAGCCTAAGATAAACAAGGTTTGTGGCTGCATGCTACAGAACAAAGAGAGAACACGTGCCATGCAATAATGCAGCTTCATGGATAAACTATAAAGGAACATGAATGAAAAGTTTTTTTACAGATGGATGTGATGTACACAAGTGTTTGGTAATCCCCTCTAATCTTGCATTAGTAAGCATTTAAAAGGTTATGTTTACCAACTCATGTGGTCAACACTAATCTTACATGATATAGTTACAGAATCAGGTAACACAGTTAAATGTGCCAACGTTGGTGAGCATTCTTATAGAAGACTTGCATTCATGTCAAGTCTTACTCTGACCCATCACTTGGCCATGCAGTAGGTATCATGGTGTGCTCTCTTGAATCACCATTCTCTAGCACCTTTAATCTGACCAAACACACATTTAACTCCTACCATATAAAACAAGGTAACAAATGTTTACAGTCAAGCCTGGAATAATGACTAGTTTAGTTAACAGGTATTTCTGCAGAGCCCTCATAACCTGGACACAAACTGTTTCAACTGCTCCCCTCTGGATGGCGCTACAGGTCACCGACACACTGATGAATGCTTAACTCATGAATCTCTAACAGAACCACAACCCTCAGTGCAGTACCTGTAAATATACTTTTGTTTTGTGACATGGTCAGAACATTGTGATAGAGCTTGTGTGTGTGAGAGGGCAGCGTTGGGCAGAAGTGCCTGTGGCTATAATCAGGGGCTGCGTGTGAGCACACATGCCCTCTGTACATCAAAAGTGCTTT